CATCTCACAGTACCTGACACCTAGTAAGTGCTCAGTAAATGTAGGGAAAAAGGTCAAACAGCAGGTAGATCAACACAGTCCCTGCCCTTAAGGAGTTTACAGTCTAATACTTTAGGAAGACATGTAAATAAAAATTTGTATCGCCTCCTGCAGGGTTGAATGCTCTAACTGGCCATATCCAGGGTACACATAGAGCAAAAAAGCCAGATTGACAAAGTTGGTGAGTTAGGAGTATATGAAGGAAAAAGGTGGGCCGAGCCCGTGGTGCACTTGGGAGAGTGCGGCACTTGGAGCGCAGCTGCGCTCCCGCCGTGGGTTCGGATCCTATATAGGGATGACCGGTGTGCTCACAGTGCTCACTGGCTGAGCACGGTGTGGCCGGTCTCAAAAAGGACAAAAAAAAAAAAAAAAAAAGAAAAAAAAAAAAAAAAAAAAAAAAGAAGAAGAAGAAGAGGGCCTGGGCTGCACTGGATCAGGCAAGAGAGAAAAATAAAGCTGGAAGGATGATCCAAGCTGAGAGGGGAGGGTGAGCACAGGCAGGCAGCAGCAAAGGGAATTCAAGGAACCGCTAGATGAGGTAGAAGGAAGGCAGGAGGCAGGAAGTCGGGCAGGTTCTCACATGCCACCCAAGGGGGAATGTGGACTTTACCTTGCAGGTGGTGGTCAGAGCACAGGTGTGAAATGTGTTAGAAAGATGGCCCCAGGGGCCTGTGGAGAATGCAGCCTGGAGAAGAGTGAGAGTCTGTTATTCCATCCCAGGGGCTATCTCCACAGGACCTGGGGGCAGGCCTGAGAACCCGGGCCTCTGGGCATAAGTAACCAAACTGAGATGATGGGAATGGTAAGACCACTAGGAATTTTTATGAAATAAGAACACCATGGCCCTGGTCCTGGTTTTGTCATCACTAATGAGCTGTGTAAACCATTCTCCCTCAGTCAAATCATTCAACCTTAGCTGTCTCCCCTGTCAAATAAGGAAAACAATCTCATGAGGAAATTTAATCGAGCATATATTATGCCAACAATACAAAGATGTGTTTTTTCCCAAAAGGAAATGAAGAAAACATAATAAAACCAGGTGGCAAGTTCCATAAAATAGGTTTGAAAAACCACTTCTTTTTATTGTAAAAGTAATATATACTCACTGCAAAAAAAAAAAAAAAGAAAAGAAAGAAAAGGAAAAAGACCCTTGGATAATAGAGTAAATTAAAAAGATATAAAGTAGTATGGGAAAGTGAAGAGAGATGAGGGAGCAATTCATTATAAAGAAGTTCAAATAGGGTAAATAGAACTTTTTAAAAGAACGAAGCATTAAAAGTTTTGCACAGACTCATCCCTGCCCAGAACTCTGGTGAGTGTGTACGCCCCTTGGCTCCTCTGGGCCACCCCACCCAAGGGCTGGGGAGGGGAACCCATAACAAATGTCTCCAAGAAGATTAGGTTTTTTTCCCCCAAGAAAATCATCCATCTAAAATGTTTTCTAAGAAATGGATCCCAACAATGAAGTAAATAAATTATTTGTAGTTTAATAACCCAGTGGGTGTCTAAAAGGCAAATGAAGCACATTGTTGGTTATGTTTGTTTGTTTGAAACAAATACTGAGCTAGTCATAAAGCAAATGTCGGCTATATACATTTATTAGAACCGGAGGCTTTCACGCCTGTGAGAATTTCACTTTAAAATCAATATCACATTCAGTAAGTCATAAGGCTTCTGGAAGAAGCAAAAATTCTGTCATATCTCTATGATAAACAGGACTAAATAATTGATTAATATCATACTATTAGAAGAACAGGTAAAGGCTATGAAGGCAATTTGTGAAAAATACAATTTATGGATAAAATATAAAAATAGATTCAACCTCACTAATAACCAAAAAAAAAAAAAATGCACAGCAAAGGAGAACATCTAAATGTCCAAGAGGAATTGATTAAATTATGGCACATCTATATGATACACTAATATGCTATTATTTAATATTATATTCTGAAACTGCATCATACGGAAAATATTTGAAATATAATCTATGGAAACGTAGACTACAAAATACTGTAGATTTAATTTTGTAAAAAAAAGGTAGAGAAACATAAAATATTTTATTAACAATAAAGAATGATTTTCTCCAAGTGGTGAAATGAGAGATGACGAACTTGCTAGTTTTTGTATTTTTCTATCTTTTCAAATTTTACATAATAATATTTAGTAATTTTATAATCAGAATAGTTTTAAAAATAAGTAATACAATCTGACAATTCTCACCTTCATGAGGACAGGGACCGTGGCCTGCGTTTGCTCATCTAACACAGTGCTTAGCACACAGTACAAGGTCTATCACTATTTGTTGAATGGATCAATGAATGAACAAATGAAGGAAAGATACACTCATTTTCAAAATTTTGATGTACTTTCACAGTCATACTATATTTTACTACGTTTGCTTTATCCTTCTCTCTCAGCAGGTATTTTCTTAATGGCTAAAATTAGTTCGTTACAAGAGCCTATGAGTGTCAGAAAAAGGAAGTACAAAAATCACAGAAAGGGCCGGCCCGGTGGCACACTGGATAGTGTGCCGCTTGGGAAGCGCGGCGGCGCTCCCG